CAGGGGAGTTGGACACCAGGAGGACTGACACCAGAGGACACTCTGACACTGCCGAGGAGTACCTGAAACAAGGGGAGACTCGGACACTGACTGAGGACTGTAGCCACAGCCTCCGACCACCACCAGCCATTCACACACACACCAGACTCATTCTAAGCAATGTGGGTGAAGTGTCTTGTCTAAGGACAAAACGAGAGTTTGGCACTTTACAGCCACAGCCGTATGGCACCTGGTGTTCCCAGAGGTCTCCCCTCACAGTACTAAGAGGTCTGACGGGATCTGGCTTCGGCATGCAAGTATGGCCACAGAAGAGAGCGGCAAATTAATTTAATTATAGACATTCATTCATTTTCAAACCCCTTTATTAGTCCATATCGGGGTCGACGGGGGGACAATCCGTGCTGCCACCCAATGCTCATAGCACCAGTCCCTCGTTGATTCTCCGGCAGGTGGTGGGTCTACAGGAAGATGGCTGCTCCGCCGTCAGCGGTGACACAGCCTTGTTTTTTCAGCGGGGGCTTCAGACAACATGGGGTTAAGTGTCTTGCCCAAGGACATCGCGACAGCAGACATCAGTGGGAGCCCTTCCAACTAAGCCACTACAGAGCTCCCACTCCCGTCTCTTTCCCTGTATGCAACTCGTACTACGTGAGTTGTGGACACTAAGTAAATAAAGCCTCAGTCCTGGATCTACAGCCTCAGTGCTGAATCTTCAGCCTCACTCCTAGGTGAGTGGTTCCTTGCTGATGTGCGAGGGTCTAAGAACAGTATTGATCAAGGACATTTCTGCACATTTATTAACAATTCTGGACAGTGGTCATCCCGTTCCCAATGGACCAATGGCTCCTATGTGCTACTTATTATTTTTCCCTCCAAATACATGTATTAACATTTCTGGACAGTGGTCATCCCGCTCCCTATGGACCAATGGCTCCTTTGTGTTTGCTATTATTGTTTTTCTCCGAACTGTTTGATTCTCAGATTTGTTGTTGGTGAATCCACATCTATGTTAAATTGAAACGACTGCTGTTTTGCTTTAGGGTGAAACACAAATACATTGACTTGTCTTGACCCTTTGTGACATTTGTTGCCTTTTGAATCAGAATAATAAATAACCATTCATCCACATCCTTAAAAATGTGAGAGATACAAGGTCACACTAATTAGGCACACGAACAGGTTTACACAAGACCTATTCTCTCCAGGAGCAGGACAAGAAAGTGTCATAGACTTATAAAAATTGACGTCAGAGTCTTTGAAACGGCTGAAATAGTTGAGTGGGAGTCGAGAGTCGTAGCGTGTGGCATGTAGCATTTGGTTGTGCAACAGCAGAGATAAATGTTATACCTTAAACAAATGAATGAAACTGGCAACGCGTCAAGAGCAGTGACACAGCAGTTCCAGACTGCAGCCAACCGCCAATCATTTACAGTAGGAGGAGGAGGAGAAAAGATTGAAATAACTTGATTTTTGGTTGGACCTGGATCATTATTAAACGCATGAAGTAACGCGAAAACACACCTCATTACAGTCCTAAAACAACATGCATCTGATATTCTTGTCTTCGAACCAGTAAAGTAATCAAAGCAAGTTAAAGCTTGGGTATGTTTAGTCTCATAAATTATGCGTGTTTGTTAAACTGAAGGAGTCTTAAAGTGAAATGTTGTGAACAAATCAGGCCACAACATGCTACATGGTCGGTGTGACTATAATTCCAACAGTATTAAACCCTGGATCGGACGTGGTCCTGGTCCTTAATCACAAAACTCTTTGTCGTATTGTCTTCATTAACAGAGCTTTACTTTAGAATCAGAGAGTGACCACACCTCGACAGCAGCAAAACCAACCAGAGATACAGGGCTGCTGTCACTGAGGCAGAACCATCCACTCCCAGCAGCACAATCTCACATGGAGCTATTTTTTATATCTAGCGAAAGTATTCGGCCCCCTTGAACCTTTCAACATTTCGCCACATTTCAGGCTTCAAACATAAAGATATAAAAAAAAAAAAAAAAATCATGAATCAGCAACAAGTGGGACACAATCGTGAAGTGGAATGAAATGTATTGGATAATTTAAACTTTTTTAACAAATAAAAAACTAAAAAGTGGGGCGTGCAATATTATTCAGCCCCTTTACTTTCAGCAAACTCACTCCAGAAGTTCAGTGGGGATCTTTGAATGATCCAATGTTGTCCTAAATGACTGATGATGATAAATAGAATGCACCTGTGTGTAATCAAGTCTCCGTATAAATGCACCTGCTCTTTGATAGTCTTAGGGTTCTGTTCAAAGCGCAAAGAGAACCATGAAGACAAAGGAACACACCAGGCAGGTCCGAGATACTGTTGATGAGAAGTTTAAAGCCGGATTTGGATACAAAAAGATTTCCCAAGCTTTAAACATCTCAAGGAGCACTGTGCAAGCAATTATATTGAAATGGAAGGAGTATCAGACCACTGCAAATCTACCAAGACGAGTGCCATTTCTCAAAGATATCCATAAAAAGTCTCGTTTAAAGTTTGCCACAAGCCACCTGGGAGACACACCAAACATGAGGAAGAAGGTGCTCTGGTCAGATGAAACCAAAATCGAACTTTTTGGCCACAATGCAAAACGATATGTTTGGCGTAAAAGCAATACAGCTCATCACCCTGAACACACCATCCCCACTGTCAAACATGGTGGTGGCAGCATCATGGTTTGGGCCTGCTTTTCTTCAGCAGGGACAGAGAAGATGGATAAAATTGATGGGAAGATGGATGGAGCCAAATACAGGACCATTCTGGAAGAAAACCTGTTGGACAATGGACAATGGACAATGATCCAAAACATAAAGCCAAATCTACAATGGAATGGTTCACAAATAGACGTATCCAGGTGTTAGAATGGCCAAGTCAAAGTCCAGACCTGAATCCTATTGAGAATCTGTGGAAAGAGCTGAAGACTGCTGTTCACAAACGCTCTCCATCAACCTCACTGAGCTCGAGCTGTTTTGCAAAGAAGAATGGGCAAGAATTCCAGTCTCTCGATGTGCAAAACTGATAGAGACAAACCCCAAACGACTTGCAGCTGTAATTGCAGCAAAAGGTGGCGCTACAAAACATTAGCCCAAGGGGGCCGAATAATATTGCTTGCCCCACTTTTCAGTTTTTTATTTGTTAAAAAAGTTTAAATTATCCAATAAATTTTGTTCCACTTCACGATTGTGTCCCACTTGTTGTTGATTCTTGACAAAACATTTTATTTTAATATCTTTATGTTTGAAGCCTGAAATGTGGCGAAATGTTGAAAGGCTCAAGGGGGCCGAATACTTTCGCAAGGCACTGTATGTGTTTATATTAAAACACATCACAGTCTTGGAGCAGAAATCATAAAAACACAGTGTTCTGTCTCAAAGTTCTGAGAATAAACAGCTGATGAATAATTGTGAGAGATTATGTGAACCATCTCCACGTGGACCAGAGCCTTCTGCGGCACTGGAGCTCACACAAACTAGAGGCCACCAGAGGTACAGCAGCCTAAATCCACATGGACAAGGCCACCTGCTCGACTGCAGCCTAAATCCACATGGACTAGAGGCCGCTGGCAGTACTACAGCCTAAAATTACATGAATTAGAGGCCGCTGGCAGTACTGCAGCCTAAAATTACATGAATTTAAAGGCCACTTACGCTACGGCAGCCTAAATCCACAAGGATTAGGGGCCACCCGCAGTACTGCAGCCTAAATCAACAGACTATAGGCCACTCGCAGTACTGCAGCCTAAATCCACTTGGACTCTTGTGGAGTGGATTGAGGCCTCAGTACCGTGGGTGGCTAACTGAGGCCTAAATCCACACTTTTGTGCCATAAACTCTTTTCACTCTGATTAGCGGCGGTCTGATTGGTCTCACATGTCTCTCTCTGATCTCTAACCACTGCACCGCCCTTCAGTCCTGCCCCGCACAGTCCTGGATCTACAACTCAATCCTGAATCTACAGCCTCAGTCTCTGATGCAGGAGGGTCTAAGGATAATGATGATACGGGCATATATTACAATTTCTGGACAGTGGACATCCCGCTCCCTACAGACCAATGACTTCAAAATGTTTGTTAGTATTGCGTTCAAGCAGTTTGATTCTCTGATCTGTTGTACGTGAATCGAAAAGTCTTTCAAGACGACTGCTACTGTAATTTGGAGCAAGACACAAATACATTATATTGAATGACTTTCCCTGACAGAACAGGACCAGGTCAAATGGATGCTGTAGTCTCTTTCAGTTTTTTCTATGAAGCTTTTTAGCCTAGTTCTTGTAAAACTGGCGAGGTGTTTGCCCTGTGACCGTTTTGTGTCAGTGGGAAGTGAAACATGGGTATTTCTGAACACACGCATCTTGAGGGGCAAAGGGGACGAGCCGAGGCGCTAACCCGAGCACGCAGCTTTGTGACTAAAGGTGACGGAAACAACGAGGGCAAAGCACCTGACCGTGAGGCCATCTGCTTCTATGCCGGTTCTGTCATATGGAAGGCAAGGTTATTTGTGTGATACAGAAGCAAACTCAAAGTGCTTAACAAACATAAGAACATAATCATTAAAAATATTCACAGTGCCTTACACTGAGTGAAGACCATGCCTCTATCCCTCTCTCTGTGATGTATACCGGGGCCTCTACCGCTCTCTCTGGTGTATACTGGAGCCTCTAACCCCCTCTCTAGTGTATACTGAGGCCTCTAAGGCCCTGAGTTCCTTCAACTCAGGGTGAAGGCATATGTTCACTACCACTGTGTACCCTATTGTCAGTCCCTTTTATAATCCTTTAGCTCTTGTTTAGGTTGTTATTGAGTGTCGTCTTCTGAGGCTTCGGACCCTCTGGTGTATACTGAGGCTTCGAACCCTCTCTCCTATGTATACTTTTTTGTAACTGCAAAGTCTGCTGATTTGGTGTCTTACTGATGTGTTTGATGGTGTGTCTTGCTGGTATTCTGCTGGTGTCTTGCTGGTGTTTGAGTAGCACATACCGTTGTGCGACATTCCCACGTTTAGACACTTCTGGAAGCGGCAGTATTGACACTTGTTGCGTGATTTCTTGTAGATGCGACATCGGAGTTCGCAGTGATCGTACACCAGCTTCAATCTAATCGTGCGTCTGAAGAATCCCTGAAAAGGAGAAGAACCAGCTCAGAAACCTGTTTTGACCTGAGGAGGTACAGCCCCCAGGGACCAGAGCTCCAGGTGTGAATGCTCCCTAGGACCAGAGCTGGAGGGTTTCACCTATTGTACATGTGTTTAGTGATACGGGAAACTTGAGAACCTGGAGAAAACGAGAAGGCTAACCACTCTGCCACTGTGCTTGTATTGTGTTAATTTGAGTAACTTGGAGTGAAAAAAAATATTGGTACTCCAAATACATTGTAAAGCGTTGTGTGTGACCTTGGTCTCTGGAATAAATAAAGTAAGTCAGTAAGTAAGAATTCTTTATTTATTTAGCGCTTTAAAATTGTTGAGAGTTCCAATATTTATCCATTCAATCCACACACTGTGATGACATAAGCGAGACGCCGAATACACTGGCGCATCAAAGCCCCCAACCAACTCCATCCATTAACTGTATCTATTGTACATGTTTTTAGTGGTAGGGAAAACCGGAACACCTGGAGGAAACCTACGCAGACACAGGGAGAACATGCAAATAAAGATTACTTACTATAGAATACTTACTAACTATAATATGTTTTGCTGATGTAATTTGTATTTGTTCATTGACCTTTATACAGGAGAATCCCACTGAGATTTCAGAGTCTCTTTTTCAGTGCAGTCACCGACTGAGAGAGGGGACCTATTGCATATGTGTTTGGTATGGAAACCGGACCACCTGGAGGAATCCTATGCAGGCGCAGGGAGAACATGCAAACTCCACTCAGAAACAATGACGTGCAGGTAAAATCATTGAAAAAAATAATTATTTTAGTTTAATATATAATAGTTTTCCACTGTCCTATGATTTTAATGTATTTTAGGCACGGTTCCAACCAGTTTTGATCATTTCTGTAGTCAAAATCTCTCAAATCCTATTTTTACAATTCAAAGAGACGAGGTGAGGTAGAGCTCCTGCTTGCCTCACCCCAGATCGCTCCCTCACAGTGGACTGTGAGTGCACTCAGCTCATGCTGGTTTATATATCGCTGTTTGTTTCAAATATCCTGCTTTGAAAACATTTGTTAAACTTCTCATAGTTTTTGGTAGTGTATTGCACGCATGTATGTACTAATTATTTTTAGTTTAAGTGTTTTGATCAGAGAAGAATACACAAGGAAAAAACCTGCCTTGAGGCAGCCAGTATCTGTGCCTCACCGATAGGGGGCAATGCTTAGCATGAAGTTCATACCAGAGTTGATTTTTTTATCAACTGGACTTTCAATTAAAGCAAGAAATAATACAGACTGAGAGACTGCCACTGGACTTACAAGGTTAGTCCAGCCCTGGGGGAGGAACTTGTCAATCTCTGTGTTTTATGTTGGAAATTTACCAGACAGCTGCATAATGCATAGTGCTTCCCCGAATAACACTAATTCAAACACTGCTCAAGAGTTCTGCAACTTGTTTAAATTCTTGTTCATTTTCCTCGCGTCTCTCCCTTTCTCTCCCTCCTTGCGTCTCTCTCCCTCCTCCCGTCTCTCTAATTCCTCCCATCTCTCTCTCCCTCCTGGCGTCTCTCTCTACCCTCCTGGCGTCTCTCTCTACCCTCCTGGCATCTCTCTCTACCCTCCTTGCGTCTCTCTCCCCCCTCGCGTCTCTCTCCCCCCTCACGTCTCTCTCCCTCCTCGCGTCTCTCGCACCTGCGCTTCGCAAAGATGTTGTTTGATGCGGAGCATAGTCTGCACCTAGATGCGTTGTGGGATTAGTAAAAGATGCTGGTTCTCTTATCTTTACAGTATATAAACTTTGTGGACGTTATTGCATTGGCAATTTAATGCTATTTTATTAGAATAATGATGGTAAATCTGACTTTTAAAGTCAGTGCCACCCCAATCACAAACCTCACCGCACCGTCACTGCTCAGAAAAGCCCTGTTCCGACCGAGATTCAAACCCCTTCTTTCTGCAAGGTGAGAATCACTCACACATATTTTGGGCCCTTACTCAATCAACATAAATCAATTACAAATTGTGCTATACAAAGCCCTGTGTAGAAGGCTTCACAAGAGAAATTAAAGACAGATCAAAAGACATCGCAGATGAAAATGCAACCATTTCATATTAAAACAGATAACACTTTATAATAAATACACCTTATTTAGGCTTAATAAATGTTGAAATAAGACTTAATTAATCATGAAAAATGCATTAATTAAGTGTGACCAACACTTAACTACTCCATCCATCCATCCATTATCTTCCGCTTCATCCGTTGCCGGGTCGCGGGGGCAGCAGTCTAAGCAGAGACGCCCAGACTTCCCCATCCACACATAGTCCCTCAGGCGTGTCCTGGGTCTTCCCCGGGGCCTCCTCCCGGTGGGACGTGCCCGGAACACCTCCCCAGGGAGGCGCCAAGGAGGCAAAAATAAATATATCGATATTTTTTCCGCAACAACCGATAACGATATTGTCATAATATATGACCTGCAATGTTTTGCTTGCCAGGGCATCAATAGATAGAGACAATGTAGATCAAAATAGCAGCTTTATACTTGTAAAGTGCTTCACACATTATTGCAAAACATGCACAAACATATATTAACACTAAAAATCAAATTCAAGTAACACAGTAGGGCTGCAACTAACAACTATTTTAATAGTCGACTAGTCACCGAATATTGAAACGATTAGTCGACTAATAGGATCATTATTATTTTCTTCATTTTTAGCCTGAAGTTGCTTTAATTATGTGAAAAATGATAACAAACACAAGAAAGATGGGTACTTCAATGAAAAAAATGATCTTTTATTCCACTTTCCTGCTAGTTCATACAAAAAGTAAATACAAATGTCTTATCTAAGACCAATTTGGCACAGTGCCTGGTCAGTATAGACCATTGCTTCTCAATTATTGTTTGAAAGGCCCCCCTTATGTAGAGGAAAACATTTCGCGCCCTCCTCCTTACATCTTTTGAGCTAAAAAAATCCGCTCTCAGCACAAAAAGTAAAATATTGACAAACATGGTTCTCTCTTAATTATGCAAAAAAACAACATAAAAAACAAGACCTCTTGTGGGTTTTTTTTATGTAATAGTTATTTATTTTACGTTTGGGCACTAACAACCTGCATTATGAATGCAAGGGAAATGTAGGTATCCTAGCTTTAATTTAGTGAGTTTTCGTTTCTGGGCTACAGGAGGAGACACGGGGGACACTTCCAGAGGCTCACATAGTTCAGCTGTATTTCTCACAGCGGTGTATTTATCGCGTCCACAGGTCGCTCAAAGATCCGCACTTGTCCTGTTCGGGCTGATCACATTATCGTGCATCACCGAGGTGCTGCCGTGATCCGCAATGTCTGCTTTGCAAACCTTGCAAGTAAACTTTTTATTTGCCGTATCCAGACTAAAATGCTCCCAAACTTTAGACGTTTCTCTACGCGGAGCTGATCGTTATTATAATAGATCCATGGAGCTGATGGACGCCGCCATTACTGTTTATGTTTCCACTCAATAGACGCTCTTGCACATGTGCCACTCTCGGCAGAGATTGTTTGTGAGACGAGGGAGGCCTCACTCTGTTGGAAAAACACGTCTGGCGACAATAGTCGAGAATGGAATTCATGGTCGACTATTTCTATTATCGATTTTTGTCGACAACGTCGACTAATCGTTGCAGCCCTAAAACACAGGAAGAAAACTGTGAAGAATAGAGGTTCTTTTATGGTTGGGGACACTTTCGACAGACTCCGGTTAGTGAATCTTCAATCAGCTTTATTGCAGGTTTGGCAGGTGATCAGTTTGTACGTTGTTTTGTTGTTGAGTGTGCAATTGTGAGTTTCTAAGGAAACAGAAATAGAAGGAAAACAGTATAAATAATTATTCTGTAGCGAATAACACATTAAACAATCAATAGCTTATGTGTCTGGGCTAGTAGGAACTAAAATAAGTCATAAAAATTAATAACATAAAAATCCAATATAGGTCTCCTTTAAGGTCTACATAAAGTTGACATAAAATACATAAATAAGTGATGTAAACCACAAACAGAGGTAGCTCAAATGGAAACTAACATTACAAAGATGCAGGGATGTAAATATGACAAATCATAATAGCATAATTAGCTTAAAGTAAGCATAGTTAGCTTAATTAGCTGCAGACAAACACATTTCGGGAAAACCCTCTTTTGCAAATAATGAGAAATTACACAACATAAATCTTCCTTCCAAAAATCTTCTAAAGATCACAAGAACTACAGGAACTTACTTCTTTGGTAATAAAAACGCACAAACAATGTACAAAGTGTTCTCCTCCGTTTTGCGGTGTCCCTGTTCATGTGGTGAGGCGTTCAGGTGCAGACGTAGGGTGAGTGTTTGTCGCATAGGCTTTCAGACAAACACATCCAAAAAGGCTCAATATTTACTGAAATGTAAAATTAAAGCAGTGATAGGCACTCATTTGACAGAAAAAACAGGACGTAAAAAACAGGAAGTAAAGGTGAGACAGAAGCGCGCGGCATTCTGGGGGATGTAGGCAGAGGCTTTTCAACCTATCACGGCCTAGAATGAACCGCAAGGCATTCTGGGAAATGCAACAAAAAAAGAAAAACTCACATCAACAAGCGGACCATCATGGATCTATTATAATAACTGGATAGGGTATTACTAGCTTATAGCTGTCCCACCCATGGGCACAGGGGGCGCCCGTGGTACTGCAGACTAAATTCACGTGGGCTACCCAGAAAAAAGTCCCATAGAACTCCATGTACACTAAAACAGCTCGACCTCAGCTGACAGAGAACATACAGCTTTCATAAAGTTTAGTGTCCCTAGTCATCCTTTTTTTATTCTTAAATCCTTTGGTTTTCTTTAAATCCACACTTTACTGCCACAAACTCTGCTACTTTACTTCCCGCTCTGACTCCGCTCTAATGCTGCTCTGATCAGCAGCGCTGATTGGTCAAAGCGCAGCCGAGCTTCTCTGTGCACGTGCGTGAGAGACACACGCGTATTATGCGCAATGCATCATGGGAGCTCGTCTACTGCACAGAACCGGGAGGACCAGACAATGCCCAAATATAGGCGAGTTATGCTAATCTCCCGTTCCTCGTGAAGTCCCATGCGCTATTGAGCACAAGCCATTCATTTGAATAGGGCGCCATCTTGGATCCCCGGGGCTTGAGGACCATGCGTTATGTCCGTGGATCTAAAGTTGTCGTGTTTCAATGCCGTGTCAAAGCACATCATGCGAGGCATAGCATGTGAGGCGCGGTACAGGCCGTGGGTACAGAGACTCGATGCATGCGGCAAAAGCAAGAGGCAAACTTTTTCCTCTGGAAACACGTGAGGATATCAGAGAGCCGCACGCAGCCGACACAAGTGCGCAGCCAGAGACACTGAAAACACTCGAAAAACAGTCAAAACAGGAGCTAAACCAGGACTGTCAATGGGGGACGCTGTGCTTGTGAACATATGCCTCCAGTCTGAGTTCTCATTCCCCGTGACTAAATGTGCTGCTACCTTGTGTTAGCCGACACAACAAATGTATTAATTAAAGTTTAAAAAAAAAAAAAAAAAGATAGTTAATTATTGATATTGACCAATATGAATCACTTATATCGTGATATAGTTTTCAGCCATATCACCCAGCCCTAGTATATGCCATTGTATGTTCATCTTTTCGAAGATAATGCTCCTCCTGTTCGTGTTTACATGTTTATTTAATTCATGGGGCCAATTCTGAGGCCTTTTATTTTTTCCGTTATTATGGGCCTGTTATAGCTCTGTAAAGCAATTTAAAAGATAAATATATAGTCTGTATTCATGCCTCATGGGTTATTATTGTTATACATAAACGTTAGTCATCCTCGTGCTTTTTTCTTACAAAAACTCTTAGCTAACTATTAGTAACTGACTAATAAGTCATAAACTTCCGTATTAATAAATAATTTATTGTCACACTAAAAGGTCTTTAACAAATGTGTAATAAAGTGTAAATAGTGTATACTTTACAAAAGCTGACAAAAACTCACTGTACTAACTAACTGTTAGTAACTGACTGAATAAATCATGCACTGCAGTATTAGTTTATAATCATGCATACAATTATTAATCAGTAACATGTGGTTTAATCATGGTGTAACAAACCATCTATGTATGTAGTAACAAATGCTTACTTCATAATTATTAAATAATTAAATAATCATGAACAAGAGAAGTACTTGAAGATGTATTCATTATGTGCTAAGCATTTATTAACTGTAGTAGTTAAGTAGTTATAAAAGTGTTGGTCACACTTAATTAATGAATTGTTCATGTTTAATGAAGTGTTATTTCAACATTTATTAAGCCTAAATAAGGTGTAGTTATTATAAAGTGTTAAAAAACAGTGTAACATCAAAGCATTGGACTTAAAATATTATTAAAGCAGGATTTAAAACAGATAAATGCTACAAAATAGAATCAGTCATTTGTGCAGCAAAAAATATATGTTTTCAACTTTGTTTTGAGGTCAAAGCCTGTCTCACTTTTTCAAGTAGACTGTTCCAGATTTTGGCAGCATGAAACTGAAACAATGCCTCCCCATGTTTAATCCTGACTGTTCTCATGTCCAATGATGGAGGTGGAGATTAAATGAACCCAAAATGCAGGACTGCAAAACTGAGCAAATCAGTTCAGTTCAGTTCAATTCAAGTGTTTATTTGGGCCTCTAGAAGCCAAAACATGAATAATATGAAAGTAAAATACAGAAAAAGAATATCCAAAAAGGAGTTAGCAGAAGCTGGAACAGCTTATCTGGGCCTGCCACCTATTGCCAATCAAAAATACCCATCACCGATATAATGCATAATAATATAATTGAATATGCATAATAATATAATTTAATATGCATAATAAAAAAACAGAGTAAAAATACAAATAATGCAGATAGGGGATGAAGACAAGAACTAAAAGAGACATTGAAATAACCATGACAGAACAGAAATGACAGGATTTTAATACATAAGACTAAAGAGAAACAGGTGAAACATATGAGGAAGGAAGACACACGGGTTAACAAATTACAAAATAAACATCAACCATGACAGGTTTTAGTTAGGCTCAGGCTGAAGCTAGAGGTAAGGAGGGTTAGGGCCAGGCGGGAGCTGGAGTTAGGAGGTATAGAGGGTAAGGATGAGGGCCAGGCTGGAGCTGGAGCTGGGGCTGAAGAGGGATGGGGTTAGAGCAGGAGTTGAAGTTAGGGGTGAGGGGGGTTAGGGTTAGGCCCAGGCTGGAGCTGGACGCAGGGGTGAGGAGGGTTTGGGCCAGGCTGGAGCTAAAGAGAATTGGGAGATGCTTGCCTCTTCCTCTGAGATCACATGACACACCCTGGCTAATTCAGTGACAAACATTTGGTGTTTTCTCTAAAAACAACAGCCGGGGGTTGCTTTGTTGAATGGATTTCCAGGCTTCACACTTGCTCGTTTATAATCGCAGTTTATTTTGGGAGCGAGGAAGTGAAAGGAGGGACGAGGCTCCACCTTAATAAAGAATGTTTTCTTAAAAACAATCAGATGTTTGCTGGCTGACCCGCTCCGGTGCCAATCCCCTGGAGAGCTGTCAGAACAATGCGCTCCAGCCTCAGCGTCAGGGAAGATAAACACACACCATTTATGAACCTTGCTGTCGTCGTCTCATCGAACTTTAAGGCGATTAGCAGCTATCCACAAAGCAAAGTGCCCGAGCAAGACGTGGTCTCTGATGAGGGTTATCAGAGATCCTGTTCAATTACTCACTACACTGTAAAACCACTCACTCCTGTGAGATGGTGTCTATATTCTTCTGACTTTTTTACAGTCAGAAGAAATTATGTACACTTTCTGGACTCTGTCTGGTCCATGTCCGGTCTCTATGGTCTCTCTCTGGTCTCTCTCTGGTCACTGTGGTCTCACTCTTTGGTCTCTGTCCTTTCTCTTTCTCAGGTCTCTTTTTGGTATCTCTTTTGTCTCTCTCAGGTCTCTTTTTGGTCACTATTTGGTCTCTCTTTGGACTCTCTCTGGTTTCTCTCTCTGGTCAGACGCCTAAGTGTTTGTTATTATTGCATTCCCTGTGTTCAAACTGTTTTATTCTCTAATCTGTTGTTCATGAATCCACAACTCCATAAAGTTCTTTGACACAACTGCAGTGATTAAGAGCGATACACAAATACATTGAACCGAATTGTTGTGAACCAGCAGTAGTGCTGTGGATTCAGACTGTTACTTCTTGTGTGAAAATCTGTGGAACTGATAAACTGACGGTTTTATGCCTTTGTCACATGTTTATCGCTCATTCTGAGAGTTTAAAATGTCCCCATTGCTTGTACCTTGTTCTAAACGAGGGCAAACAATGAACTCTGCTAAGACTGATCTAAGTGTCAGGACTTCAGAGAAACAGGTGAGAGACGCAGACTTCCCTCCACACGCAGGGTTCACTCTGCGGTTCAGTGGAAACACAGTGTGGTCAGATGACATGAAGAGCGCACCAAAAGCTGCCCAAAAACTGCTCCAAAACCGGATCTTAAAACTGACCCAAGATTGACATGCTGCGACAGCCACATCAGCTTCCTGCCATTAACATTAACATGAAAAAGTATGAGGCCATACTTGCATGCAAAAGCCAGATCCCGTCAGACCTGGTTAGTACTGTGATTGGAGACCTCTGGGAAACACCAGTCTGTAAATTGCCAAACTGTGTGTGTGTGTGTGCGCGTGTGCGTGCGTGCGTGCGTGCGTGCGTGCGTGCGTGCGTGCGTGCGTGCGTGTGTGTGTGTTAGTGTTAATGTGGCATGAAACCACACAAACCCAAAAACTCTACTTGTTTTTTTTTTTCAATTACGCTTCAGTGTCTGGTACCGTATCCTATCTACCTAACCCAAAAAAGTATCAGGGTAGATTCACTGGTCACCATGGCTTCCAGCAGCACTCCAGTCACTGTCAGTTGGAACACTTTAGTCCCAGCTTGGTCCCTCACCTTGCAGCCCTCGCAGGCGTGGACCCCGTAGTGGAACCCGGAGGCTCGGTCACCGCAGACTCGACACTCGATGTTGAGAGCCGTACTGCTCACTGTCGTCGGGTCGTCCTGAGGTTTGGAGAGGAGCGGGCTCTCTGTGAGCTGAGGCGGGGACTCGGGCTCCAACTTTATTAGACCTGGAAAAACATTATGAAAAGTTGTCAGCTTTTATCTATTGTTGTTTGATGGTTAAACATTCAGACTAATAGAGAGAGGATCTTCAATTAGGGGATTTATTAAATAATCACTTTGGTGCTCTCTCAGATTCTTGTGTGCAATTTTGCTTTCTTACGGAGTGCTTTGCGTAACATAATCGCAAGAAACATGACAGTTAGCTTTATTTAAAGTCAGAGCAAAACTTTTGTGGCTCTCCTTGGTCTCCTTCTCTCTCTTTTCTCTCTTTCTAGTCTCTCTCTGGTCTCTCTCTCACTCACTGTGCGTGATGTGTGTGTCGTCATCCGCCTGGTATGCGCTGAGACCGCTGAAGTCCACGCTGCTCAGAGACTGGTGAGTGTGCTGGGGTGGGCTTGGGTCAAAGGTCACTATGGAGGAGGCCAGAGGAGGAGACAGGGAGGAGGAGGAGTAGTCCATGTGCCTCATCTCAAGACCATGGGAGTCCAGCTCAGAGAAATCCACGGGACTGAGGCCAAAGGGGGAGGGCCAGGCCAGGAGGTGAGCAGTGTCCACCATGATTTCCCGCGCTGAGGAGAGAGTGGGTGGGCCTGTTATGGCAACACAACTCAGACAGGAACACACACAACGATAACGATGAGCTACAGAGGCAGAAACATGTGTAGAGATGTGTGGAGGAAAATAGATGTATCTTTGTCGAGCTTTTAAAGCTGGGGTATCCACCTTAATGCTACAGCAGGTTTTTAAATGCTTTTTACTTGTCCCTCATTCTTAAACAGTTTAATTCTAGTTGTAGTTTTTACAAGAATGTAAAAAAAAAGGTCTTGGGTCTGGTCTTTGTCCTGGTCTTGGTTCTGGTCCTAATCTTAGTCTTGGTCCTGCACTTGGTCTTGGCCCTGGTCTAGCTTTCACATGATTTATTTCTGGCTTCTGGCCTCTATCACATCTTTATGTCAGCTTTTTCAGTCAGAAAAGCGAAAAAGAGAGGACCACTCTCACTCAGTCAAGCATCTCCCAGCCCAAAGATAGATAGATAGATAGATAGATAGATAGACTCTTTATTTATCCCAAATGCAGGTGTCCAGTTGAGGTGGTTGAGCCACTGGATGGAGCAGGACGGGTCAAAGCAGCAGAGCTTGTGGGGCCTCTGGGTGGAGCTGCTGGTCACAGCATCAAAGATGGTCTAGCCATTGGGTGGAGCAGGATGGGTCAAAGGAGCAGAGATGGTCTAGCCATTGTGTGGAGCAGGATGGGTAAAAGCAGCAGAGATGGTGGAGCCTCTGGGTGGAGCAGGACGGGTCACAGCAGCATAGATGGAGCTGCTTGGTTTGGACCATTTTCTCTGCTCTTGTCCAAAGTAAAATGTTGAATGCTTTGTTAGCATTTTTCTTCCTCCAGTGGATTTTCACCTGTTCCGCTTGTTTCGGACAATGAATCCGCTCCGATCTGGTTTGGACCAGTGTAAAACCATTATCACTGTACAGCAGCAACATCTCAGGTAGAAAAAAGCAAGAAAAATAACAATTGTAAAGCTACTTTGGACTTACTGCCGTTTCCAGCAGATTCAAAAGTAAAAACAGTGACTCACAGGACTATTTTTACACAAAAAGTCCTACGTTTTCTAATTGTTCGATTCTTTCTGGTGGGACAAACATCTCCAAAGCTTTAAGACCGGGGTAGTCTTGCACAGTTTTTCCTATGTGGTTTTACTGCAAATGGCAAATAAATTACTCTGACTCTGACTCTGACATGGGTTAGACCTTCTTTACCTGTATCTGACGGCTCCCAAACATAGACACAGCATTGAAGCTGAGGAATGCCTACAGTGAAAACTTAAAAGCGGAGACATTTAGAGCTGATACTAAACTTGAACACGTTGTGATAAAAGAAGAGAAACAACCAGAACAATCTGTTCTTCTGTTGTTTGGGTTTAGCTCTGTCTGAAGCCAAGGCCACACAGCAGCATCAGCAGGCTGTAGACCCAGGACTGAGGCTGTATCCAGGACAAAGGCTGTAGATATAGGACTGAGGCTGTAGAGCCAGGACTGAGGCTTTAGATCCAGGACTGATGTCATAGTAAACACATTTTCAGGTAAAGATCTCAGCCTAGCAGACCTCAGAAGCAAAGCCGGACAGGGCCTGGTAAGTTCTGTGATGAGAGACTTTTGTGAATACCATGTACCACAGAGTAAAGTGCCATACTGTCATTGTGACAAGACACTTCACCCACATAACCTAGTATGAGTATAGCGTGTTAGTACATAATAATAGCCACTGAATTTGGAGGGATTGAATAATACTATGTACAGTCCAAGAGCACAATATAAACCCAAACAAGTGGATGATACTTAATGCAAAATTATCTTTGTTCTGTTTTAAATTCAACTTAACAAACAGAAATGAACCATTGGTACTGTATGATAGAAGCCTCCTGGAGTGTATATTGTCCATGTTTTAATCTAGCTCCAGAGTTACACTTTGTGGAGACTTATCTACAGACAAAGACCAAAGTCCAGTCTCCGTGGGTCACTACAGTCCACAAACGCTTCTGCTTCTGTCGGGTTACACAGGGTGAGATCTGACACACAGACTAGAAAGACAGTGACACCAGAGAGAGACCAAAGAGAGAGCAGAGAGAGAGAGAGAGAGAGACCAGAGAGAGACAAGAGAGTGAGACCAGAGGGAAACCTGAGAGAGACCAGACTGACCAGAGAACGACCGAAGAGAGAGCACAGAAAGAAAGACCAGAAAGAGAGAGACTAGGGACGGAGACCAGAGAGTGAGACCAGAGAGAGAGTGAGAGAGAGACAAGAGAGAGACCAGAGAGAGAGACCATTGAGAGAGGCCAGAGAGACCAGAGAAAATAAGAGACCAGAGAAAGAGAGAGAGACCAGAGATAGAGACCAGAGGGAGATCAGGGACCAAATAGAGAGACCAGCAACTGCATCAATGTCAGGTTCTTAAAATAAAACAGGAACTAGTACATTTGTGCCCTCTGCATGACCCACAAACTTCACCGGTTGCCACAGCTCAATCTCTGAAAATACACTTCCCCCAAATTAACTCCTTATTACGCCAAACGGAGAACAATTAAACAACAAGAAGAAACCAAAATAGCAGCATCTGATTTAAGAGCGGCCCAAAGAACAGGAAAAAATATCCTCCTCTTTCCTCCTCTCACACCTCTCTCATTAAAATGGGAGAATAATGTATTTCTGTTAATCCATTAGGTTTTTGATCCACACTTTAGGCCACAAAATCAACTCTGATCTGAGTCTACAGTCAGCTCCGATTGGTCAGAACATTCACGTGTCCGTCTGATTGGCCAGAACACTTGCGCGTCCCTCTAATCGTTAAGACCGTTCACCTGTCTCTCTGATTGGTATATGTCAGCCTTTGTGGTGCGAGCAGAACCCCGTGAGCACAGGCCACTGATCTGGATGGTTGGGTCACCCCGGCTTGTCCCGGTGCTCACATACTCCCCCCTCTCTGTGCTCACATACTCCCTCCTCTCGGTCCTCACATACTCCCTCCTCTCTCTCCTCTCCATCGCTGGAGTTTCTTCTGCTTGTTGTGGAATGTGGCAGAAACCCAAAGGGACGCGGCTTCTATCCAATGGCGACATTGTTTCAGCGTCCTCATGCTGTTTCCCTTTCGCTGAAATGTGGTTACTATTAATACCTCAAATATTTGTTCTGTTTGTTCTGGCTCCAGTCCAGGAGATGCCAATTTAAAAATAGACCCGTGTTCCCTGTGCAGGTGGAAATCCCCAAATGATCCCGGGGTATGAACCTGACGTTCATACTGTATGTTTGTTTTGGCCAAAGAGTAAAGCTCTATTAAAGCTACACATTTTATTCCAGCTAACTAGTTCCCATCTCTTAGACAGTTGCTAGCCCAATTATACTGGAGCACCTACTGCTCCAGACGACAACAAACCCAACAAATAATGAACAAATAAGCTGACTGCATTGGTGATCCCCGTGGACGGGAAAGTTTTGGTATAAAAACCAACGAATGGACACAAATAAGTAGTAGCTATGTTTCTTAGCTAACATAACTAGCTGTAGATGCTGAAAATGCTTCATTACCAGTCAAAAAAAATATATATATGTAGTAGTAGTGCAGTTATATACTATACACTTAAATAGTGCAGGATAATAAGGTAAAGTGACATTCTTCTGTGACATTCTGAAGAATTTACTTATTTACAGATGAATGAAATGTACAGGCTCAGCAGTTCTTATTCTGACAGCAGCAGGAAGGAAAGACCTACGGAACCTCTCCTTCACACAGCGGGGTGAATTAGTCTGTCACTGAAGCTGCTCTCCAGAGCAGAGAGAGTGTCCTGCAGGGGGTGACAGTCATGGTCCAACATAGATGTTAGTTTGTTCAGGACCCTCCTGTCCCCCACCTGCTGCACTGTGTCCAGAGAACAGCCCAGGACAGAGCTGGACTTCCTGATGACCTTGTCCAGCTTCTTCCTGTCCCTCTCTGTGATGCTACTGTTCCAGCAGACCACACCGTACAAGATGGCTGATGCGACCACAGAGTCATAGAAAGTCTTTAGGAGTGGCCCCTGCACTCCAAAAGACCTGAGCCTCCTCAGCAGGTAGAGCCGGCTCTGGCCCTTCTTGAAGAGGGCGTCTGTGTTATGAGTCCAGTCCAGTTTGTGTTTCAGATGAACACCCAGGTACTTGTAAGAGTCCACTCTCTCAATGTCCTTTCCCTGGATGTTCACTGGAGCTGGAGCGGCAGAGTGACGTCTGCGGAAATCCACCACCATCTCCTTGGTCTTCCCTGCGTTGATGAGGAGGTGGTTCTGCTGACCTGAATTACTCCATTGTACTCTGCGTCATTGTCCTCGGAGCTGAGTCCGTTGAATGAGGGAATGAGACTGGAGGCATACTGTAAGTTCACATGCACTGTGTCCCCCATTGACAATCCTGGTTTAGCTTCTGTTTTTCAGTCTGCTCGCTAGACCGCTAATGTCCCCATGACCACTTTGCGGCTCTCCGATTGGTCACTGCACGTGCGTCTCGAGGAAAAAAGTTAAGCAATGTACACACGTCACCTTTGACTTTGTGTTTAAAGTCGCCGCAACGCATGATCCAGTCTGAACGCCCCATTAGCCAGATCCATGTTGCCACTCTTCCTTTAATTGCCATAATTACATATTTATATCTTGCACAGACTATGTTTGACCTTTAACATGTTTGCACACTTCTGTCTTTTGCACAATTTGAGTGATTATATCCATGCCAAATGTGACATGTAAATTTCTCCAGTGTGAGATGAATAAAGTCTATCTTATCTTATCTTATCTTGTAATATTGTCTTTTGTAAATCCAGACAGGAGCCATGTAAAGATTGACCAATCAGATGCCTTTATTCAGGGGGTAAACCCCAGCTTGCCTTAGCAACCGTCTTAGCAATACGTCGACGTGTTACGATGCGCACATGTTGCCACATATGCTCATGAAAGGGAATTGGCTCCAGTGATCTTATGTCCAAATTGGCCTCTTCCGCATTACACAAAAGGGAGATGAAGTGGTGGC